TGTATCATTCTTGCCTCTAAGTGTCGAGTATTGGCCAGACCCCCTTGTCACTCCCAGCTGTATCATTCTTGCCTCTAAGTGTCGAGTATTGGCCAGACCCCCTTGTCACTCCCAGCTGTATCATTCTTGCCTCTAAGTGTCGAGTATTGGCCAGACCCCCTTGTCACTCCCAGCTGTATCATTCTTGCCTCTAAGTATGCACAGCAAACTAAATGAGTTCATTTAGTCAAGCATTTTAAATAGAAGGTATTTTGATATAATTAGAAAAATACTGAATTTCTCGGTGTTGATTTTTTTTTCTCTCTCTTTACAGGTTCACGCTGTATCATCCGAATCATCAAAGTCTTTACGTTTTCCCGGTGAGATTCTCCATGAGCGGCCTTAAAAGCGAGGGTGCTGGCTCTGCTTCCTGGACCAGTCACGGAAGGATACAGTTTTAAATCGTCAACGGAAACGAACAAGTTTCAGAAGAATTGTTGAGTCTACAAATCTTTTTTGTTAACACAGAGTGGAAACTCATCTTCTGTTTGAATTGTGTGAGCTCATCAATACATAAGAAAAGCTGAACACATGTGTTGTCGGAATGTAGGGAACACAGGTTGTGGATAACCTGTCTTGTATATTATGCTCGCTGCTTGAAATATGAACAGGAATATTTGGATATGAGCATAAATTCATGGATATAAACAAGATATGTGGATAAAAACTAAACTTTATGGAAACGAACACAGGTATGTTGATTAATAAAAAGATACCGGGCAAGTAATTAGGATCGAAAGATATGCGTGGATGTAAACACATATAAGAGGATATAATGAGTATATTTTCACGTGACCATGGATATAACCAGAGATACACTAATTTAAACAAATATTATCAAACTGTGTGGATACAGATACGTGAATATGAACAAAGATGTGTGAAGATAAACAAATATGCATGGATAAAATAACAGATTCATTGATCACAACAAATATACGCGAATAAAAGCACACTTAACGTTGGAATAAACTAAATTTACCTGGATGTAACCAAATATACCTGGATATAGACACCATTACGTGGGTATCTGTCAAATAATGATTTCATTATATATTTTATTTTGAATATCAGTTATTAATTAATAACTGGCATGCGTATAATTGATTTCCCCTGGTTGGTTCCACGCGAAAGTGACAAAATGATTTAATCCTGTGAGTCTGAAGACACATAACACCGCGGCCATGTTTGCTACAGCAGATCTCTTTGTGACAGTGAACTTGAACGAAACAGTATTAAGCGACACTACAAACGTTTCGCAGTACAACATTGGGTTCAATAATACAACAGCAGTTATTAGTAACTCAACGAAATTAGATCTTTCCGAGCTGAACTTCTACCTGAATGGCTTAACTACGGTGATAGTTATCACCCTTGGCGTCATTGGCAACACAATGGCTATGCTGGTGCTGACAAGACGCACCATGCGCACCTCCACGAATATCTTTCTCACAGCTTTGGCCATCTGGGATACTGTGGTGTTGCTGATCTGCTTACTACTGATCAGCCTAATAGAACTAGTCAAATCCTTCAAAGACTTGGCGTTTGCTTATATTGTAGTCTATGCCTACCCTATAGGGCTAGCTGCACAGACAGCCACTGTTTGGCTGACTGTGTCCTTCACTGTGGAACGCTACATCGCTGTGTGTCACCCACTGAGGGCAGCAAGTATGTGCACTATATTCCGCGCCCGTTTAGTAGTTCTCACCATATCTGGGATTTCCATACTTTACAACGTTCCTCGCTGGTTTGAATACGACATCGCCAGCTGTGCCGAAGCCAACAATCCACAATGTTTGTACCCTGACAAAACGTGGCTGGCCAACGACTCAATCTACCACAAAATTTACTTCGGCTGGCTTTATTTCCTGGTCATGTGCTTCATCCCGTTATGTTCCCTTGCTATCCTCAACGCGTTTCTTATTGTAGCAGTCAGACGATCCAAACAGCAGCGAAAGGACATGAACGTACAGCAGTCCCGCGAAAACAACGTCACCATCATGCTAGTCTCCGTGGTTATGGTGTTCATCATCTGCCAGGTGCCGGCTCTCATCTACAACATGGCCTACTCCATTGACATGCTCAAAATCTCCAATGCTTCTGGATGGGTCGTTCTGAGCAATATCAGAAACTTTCTGGTGACTCTCAACAGTGCTGTAAACTTTATACTATACTGCGCGTTGGGACAAAAGTTTCGCCGTACGTTCATGCGAACTTTCTGCCCGTGTCTCATCAGGCGACTACCTAGTAGATTCCAATCATTCAGTTTCAACAATCAACATAGGGAAAGCAAGCACACCCTCAATGGCAACATGTATGGCAAAGTGAACTACAAACAATGCAGGACTGATATGTTTCAGCCTGACCACAATTCTGGCCTCGACATGAAAGTTCTCAAAGCCAAACATTCCCCGGTCGAGTCGTCGGACTCGAATGCATCAGGTGAAGCAGGGGAGGTGTATCACTGTAACATGTCCCAGCGAAGTCACATGAAGCTGCTTATCAGCCGATACAAACGCTAATGCTGTAAACATTGTGTTATTTTTAAGACGCTTCTTCTTCTTTTTCGTGTTCACCAGCTGTAAACTTTAACAAAAACTCCTGGTTGTTCATCCACTTTTGGACTGCAGTCCTGTTCCAGAACCTGATAGTTGCGTGTGCATCCGTTTTACAGATCTTACTCATTCGTATGCAGGATGTTGATTCCAATTAGTCGACTCTTACGACATGCTTTAGGGCAGGCAGTGGATCTATTCTTGTTTTCCCCGAAACCTACACAAGGAGTGAGAAGCTTGTATCAAATGAAAGACGCATGTCATATTTAGTTTTGTATTATAAACAATAATCGTTTCTAGTTGAACAGCTTTACGTAGAATCAGTGGCGCTGGACCTGTCACCCACAGTGACATTATAAGGTGGAGTGTCCGCCGACACCGAAAAATTCCTGTCACACACAGTGTATTGCAAGGTCAGATGTTACCTGGTACTGAATGTGTCCTGTCACCCCAGTGATATTGCAAGGTCAGGTTGTACCCGGTGCTGAAAATATTATGTGACCTTCAGGGGCATTGCAAGGTCAGGTGGCACTTGGTACTGACATTTTTCTGTCACCACCCACACATACATAAATATACTCACACACATTTTTATGTTAAAAACTTATATTTCTGCCAGTGTATCACCAACCCCCCCCCCCCCCCTCCCCTTTGTTTTTCTTGCCCCCTTTCCCCCCTCGGTAATGATACCGGGTACGGCTAACATCTTTCGCACGCCTCTGCTTACAGCGCTCCTAGCAGAGTTCAGGATTCTTCTTCGTCTTTCTTTGAGTTTAAAATAGCAATTGGAATGTTACTTTGAGGTTAACAGCTAGTCTGTCATATTTTGGCCCAAATTTAGATTTCAACAAATCCTTAATCAGTCGCATTTTATGACATCATTCTTGGGGAGCAGTGGTTTTATTTCCCCCATCTTCACGCCCCCCCACCCCCCCCCCCCCTTGCTCCCATGGTGCCCCATAACAAACACTAGGAGGTGTGGACATAACCTCGTCAGCTATGTTGATGCCAACGGCCAGCAGTGGTTATCATCATCATCATCATCATCCCGTAACACTACATGTCGTTGGGTCACCAGTTTATGTTGACTGTCTGATCAGCTACTTCCACCTTTGGCGGTCAGTTGCGATGGACTTCATGCTTGCAGGCCTAAGGCCAGTCTTGATATGCCTCTTCTCCTCTTTCCCTCTACTGAGCCCAGCAGTATTGTTTGTGAGAGGCCGTTAGATCTTATTACTTGTCCATACCATTGCATTTCTCGCTTTTTTCACTGCAGTTAAAAGAGGTTCATGACAAGTGTTTATACTTTAACAAACCATGTGTGGCAAATAGGTTCATTTGGATGTGTTATTTCTAGTTACTTCTGATAAAATAACAAAGTGTGTAAAAAGACTTGTCGGAATAGAAAGAATCTGGGTGGTGGATAACCGTATCTAACATTTGATTCGTAAAGCTGAAAATACGATCATATGACTTAATGGACAAAGATGCGTGCATTTTTCAAAACAAGGTAAGTATAGTAAAGGTCCTTTTTCCACTCCTTTAGGCGTATAGGGCATATAGGGCTAGACCTAGAATTTGATAGAATTATTCGGCACAAAATGGGAGATGTGGTCAGCATAACGCCGGCTGCCTTTACTTCCCGGGATTGCACACAGTATCCATTTAAGGCTAGGTCGACCTGGGAGTCAAGGTCATTTTTGAAAAAAGTCCGGTTCTACCAGGGAGCGAACCCACGACCTTCCGATCAGCGCGCGAGCGTCTAGCCACTATGCCACGGGGACTCACTATTTTAAAAACAAAGACATGTAAAAGTGAACAAATATTTGTGTATAAACACCGATATGAAGATTTAAACCAGGCTCGCTAGCGCAGTTGATTAAACCTGACTGAGCGGTGACCGGGTGAGGAACATTTTGTGGTCCGGGTAGGCAGGAAAGCCATATTTTTCCCAGATTTAAGGTATCTGTCACGGAATCAAGGCCGAAGGGTTGCGATATCCATAGTACCGAACCAAAGGGTTAACAACTCATGGCTTCTGTGTACTTAAAAAATGAGGGTTTAAACAAAGATGTGTGGATATTTTAAAACAAGGACATGTAAAAGTAGACAAATATTTGTGTATATAAACAACGGTATGCAGATTTAAACAAAGACATGTGGATATAAACAAATATCTGACAACATAAATGTCTTCTACTTCTTCGCGTTCTGGTTGTGAGTAAACTTCTGGTCTCTAGTCCTGATCTAAAACCTGAGTGTTACATGCACATCTGTTTTACAGGTCTGACTCGATTTTTATGCCGTCCCTTAGTTCCTCGCCCCTAAAGCAGATGTACTCCGACTTTGAAGTAAGCTCCTAATTAGGTGACTTTAACGATATACTTTTGAGTAGGAAGTAGGTCTATTATTGTCTTTCCCACAATAGGACCACGGAACCCACACGGGGATGTTGATATAAACAAAGATATGTATCATTCCTTGAACTCTATTGTATTCGATTGGGAAGGTGTATCACTATCCCAGGCAAGTCAAGTGGAACTCGTCTCCAGACAAACGCTAGTTCTAATGCTGCGTGTTCATGGAACGCTAATATCAACTGAAGGAACGGGCTTGTCATTTTAAGTTAGTCTTTAAAGAAATGGAAAATATTGGAAGAGAAAAGACAGAATAGAGTAAGTAAAACATAAAGTATATGTCAGCTTTAGGAAACCACTTACAATAAACAAACAGAGGACGTTGCGATAATTAATTTGCATCAGCATAGCAGCAACAGGATACAAACCACAACACACACACACAGAGAGAGAGAGAGAGAGAGAGAGAGAGAGAGAGAGAGAGAGAGAGAGAGAGAGAGAGAGAGAGAGAGAGAGATTAACTAAGAGAGAGATATATTAACTGAGTTTTCTGATATTTGTATTTTGATTCACATCCATGATTTGTTAATTCTACAAAATGCAATAAGATGAACATTTTGTTTTCATTTCACTCGTTTCAACCTAAATTTCGTTTTAATCTCTGGTAATCTGGTTCTGCTTGCTATCTCCCCCCCCCCCCACCACCCCCCCCCCCACCCCCCCCCCTCCTCCCCTACCTTTCCTCTCTATGTACTCAGTAAATACAGTAAATCGCTGGGATACGTTTACGCCACATAAACTTCAATTACACAGAGACAATTTTGGCAATAAGCCAGTTCTATACCAGGCAACCAAGATATCGTTTCCATAGCAGTGAGAAATGTGTGGCAGAAATGAAACCTTGTACCAGACATGACTCAATGTCTGTTCCTTGCGTGTTGTGAACTTTCCCTATCTGGGCTCACACTCAGCTGCCGGCGATATGGTAGCAGACTGCAGTGGTTTAAATTAGATATCGGTATGAACTTCAACGCGTTCAAAAGCGTCCTCTCAAGCAGATGCACTTCGACTTCGAATGATGCCTCCAATTAGTTGCTACGACATGCTTGTTGGGGAGGCAGTGGGTCTGTTTTTGGTTTCCTCACAGTGGGATCCCTGAACCCACACGGTAGGACCAATGATCTCATTTATATTGTTTGAGCTTAGCGAAACTGGTAAAATAAAATTTAAGGTCTAAGAAAAATTAGGACTGCGTAACTGTGTCTAACATTATATTGTTCCAGATCAGAACTGCATTATAAAGAATTACCATCTCATGGATGAGAAGGAAACTACACATGGTTATTACTCACAGACAGTTAGGAGGTTAGTGAGAAAGGATACACAAGCTGCAAAGTAGTAATTTGACAGAAAAGTAATGGGAAAATTACAAGGGTATAATGGTAATGAAGATGCCCCGAGAAATGGTTACCCAGATATCAATCCATAATTTTTAGACACGTCATGAAAATACACAATAAAAAAAAAGGTGTAGCTCTTTGTAACAGAAAAGTTTCAGGAAAAGCGAGGCAAGAGAGACTAAAACACTCGATGGTAGATGGTTTAGCTGTACAGCATTGGGGAACAGCTGTGTGATCAATGAATGACATGTACTTATGCAGCAATGCGTGTGGAAGTGCTGGCTTCATGGCTGACTGCTTTCAAGAACAGTGAGCTGCGCTTCTAGTGGAAGCCTGTTAGTGTTGGCACCTCCGACGGCACCCTTATGCACGTACGTTGCATGAACCAGCTTCAAGATTTTACTGAGACTGATATGTTTTATCATCAGCTTTTCACAAGGGACCGTAAACGTTTGATGTGGTTTCCACTGGTACAGGAACTGAGTAGTTGGGCGATCCGATTGCAGTCAAGTTGGAACCTCTACTGACAACTGATTGGTCAATCAAGAAAATGAAGACGGCTGAATAGGTGAGACGACCCATGTCACATGATACCGACTTGACTACATGAAGAGACATCTATTTATCCTCCTTTTTTTCCTGCCACTCCCCCATCCAATTCCTTTTTGGTTTATACTTTAGTAGGTGTGCTCCCTGATGTGTTAATACTAACAAAGTAAGACTAATTCATTGTAAATTGTAAGCTCCCACCTTTTCTCCGTGTATAAGTTAAGTAGAAGAAACATTTCTACTCCTTCAAGTGTGATTGGCATGGGGTGTTAGACCCGTTTTATCGGCTAATCCCCGCTCAGTGGGTGCTTTGTACGCTTTTACCTTCCATGATCATTTCCTTGCATTCTTTTTTACTTGGACCTGGACGCAATGCTGACAACTGATCTTTCACTTCTAGTGGTTACTTAAACCATAAGGTAAGACAAGAAGAGTAACACTGTCCCTTCTATGCATGTCATAAAACTGACTAAGGAGGGTTGACCTAAGACTGCATCGTCCCGTAGGACACATTAGCTGTAAACACCCAAGAATCATGAGAGTGTTTGCAAGATGCTTGGGTTTTAGTCGAGAACCTATGCTCCGCTAGGAGATTACAAGAATAAGAAGAAGAAGATGATGATAATCATGGTGAGGAGGAGGAGGAAGAAGAGAAGGACGATGTTGATGATAGTCATAATGATGATGATTATGAACATAATGATGAAATCACTACTGCTACAAACTCCATAATCATCATTATGACATATAAATATATATATACATATATGTGCGAAGCTCAGACAATCATAATCCCCTTTCAATGTTATTTATTGCTCTGTTTTGATTAACAATCATGTCTGTATTTGCGGGCCATGTTGTGGGACATTTTATACTTATTATTTATTCAGGCATTGTAGCTTTAAAATGTTTGGGATATCTATTATTGAAACAACAAAAAATGTAACTATATTTCCTTCAAACAAAAAAAACAAAAAAGATTTTCAGTTAGTTGTATGAGAGTTAGGTAGGTAGGAACTTTGCTAGGGAAATGAGAGTTAGGTAGGTAGGAACTTTGCTAGGGAAATGAGAGTTAGGTAGGTAGGAACTTTGCTAGGGAAATGAGAGTTAGGTAGGTAGGAACTTTGATGGGGAAAAAATGTCACTTTTAGCCAGCATCACAAAAGGGGAAGCTTTCGGTTATAATTGTGCCTAGGTTATGTACGTCACATAAAAATGGACTTGGCACTGCACGCCACCAAGAGTACTGAAAACGATTCCTGCAGTGCTGATGCGATCAAAGAAGACAGACCCAAACTAAGTCGTCTACCGGTGAGCCAATGGGCGATACTGTCGCCGATGAGAGTCTGAAACTTATCGATATCAATATGCATCAAGCTAACCAGCTCCCACTATCACGGAAACACATCGTATGCTGTGCATGCGACCCCCAACAGCAGTAGGCAGATAAAGACAATTGATAGAAAGAGATATTATGAGAATCTCAACGCGTAAGCAATTGGGGCCTTGTGAGATAATATTTTCAAAGATAGCAAACCCTTTCAAGGTAGTTCCTTTCGACAACTACTGCGAGCTACTGCTGCACCACTAAAAATCAAAGTGACTATACACTTGTTATGCTGCAGAATCAAACGGTTATCTTCTAGTTTTCATTTTTCTCGCAGCTGTCAAAAATCTGTAATATCGAGAGGATCTACTTCACTACACCGGCTTTTATCCCTTATGGCTCTGTCTCTCTCCACAAAACAGCTAGTCGTCTCTCGAGAAAAATCGCATAAAGTAAGAATTCCGCAGCTCTGGTAACTATCTCCATAGGGATTTTTGTAAAAAAAAAAAAAAAAAGCAGTTTACCTGTCAACCAAACGGTGCAGTGGGGACAAAGTTTGCCAAAGAGACCAGTTTGCCAAAGAGACACTATGTATCTATGTGTTCAATGGCAACAATTTTTTTTACTAACAATTCTTCTGTCCATAGCGAGGCTCAAGATCTAGAGCAGGGGTGGGCAAACTATGTCCCGAAGGCCAAACAAGGCCCGCTCTGTATTTTTTACGGGCCCCGAGATTGGTGTAAAACTACCATCTAATGTGGTCATTGGTTTCATATAAAAGCAGAACACACACACACACACACACACACACACACACACACACACACACACACACACACAAAACAGATGTTTGTCTGCAGAAAGAAAAAAAATCTAAATATCAACATCTAAAAACAGTGATAACTTGGACAGTGATAACAAGAAACTGATGTCGCCAAATCTTTGATTCGCCTACTAAAACACATGTTGCGGACAAACTCAGACACTAGGAGATAACGTCTGTCGGCGGACTTGATGATAAAATGTTCTTTTTCTATGAACAGACACATTTATTAAATATATAGAAGAGCTTCAGGTGATGACTGTGTCCGGCCAGAGGCATAGCGAAGGATCATAATATTAGATTACCTCACAAAAATATCCTGTCACCAGGACATTTGGAGCGTTATGTTTAAAATGAATCTTGCTGCATATTCTTTGCTGAAGTCTGGTAACTCCAGCCTGTGTTGGTTGTTTGCGGTTTTACTAGGCAACTTTACCTTCAGTAGTTTGCCATTACTACTGATTATATGCTGCCAAATAGTTTGTAGTTAAATCGAACCTGAGGTGTTAGAATTATGAAATGGCGCTCAAAGAAGCCGACAATCGATAATCTTATAACATGATAATTAAAACAAAATCCACAATTCAAAAGGGACGTTTGGATAACTTTACGAAGTCACTTCAACTCTTCATTGATCTCATCAAATTGTCTGTGAATGCTTGTGATTTCCTATATATTGCCTCATTGCCTGTTGTGAATAAACATTAATGTACACGAACATTGATTTGTTTGAACTTCTCTGTGGACTGTATTAGATGGCGGAGAGATTAACTCATTCATTACCTAGCAGCTCACCGAGCGCTTATTGAGTTAAACTTAAACTGTAACTTTTCCAAACTACCTATTCCCGCCTCAGCTGTTACAATAACCCACTCTGTTCCAGTCAGACTTTAACTCTCTCTTTCTCAGAATGTTTTTATTTAAAGGAGGGCCGGATTTAAACTTTGTGAATGCCTGAGCTATACAAAATCCCATGGCCCCAATCTATTGAAATTACGTAAGTCAATCTCACAAAATTTTAAAACGTAGTGAAAAGGTGAGAGTTGACGCATATAAAGCTGATTAATTTTATTCAAACTGAATAGGCTACAAGTTAGAATAAATAAAAGCCTGAGATAATATAACCAAAATTTATTAATAAAATGAACCTTATTAAATTTTCTTTATTGCAGTAATCATGAAACATGAGAATACATTAAAATATACAACCCCCCCCCCCCCCCCCCCCTTTTTTTTTTTTTTCCCCCACACAACAATCCAAGCCTACAATATAAAATAGTAGAGGAGAAACTGGTAAATATATGTCATATTTCACAGTATGTGGTATTCCTGACAGATGCAGGAGCGGTACTTCAGGCACTAAAATCTGGAAAAATACCTGGTATACGGAAACTACTCTCCAAAATAGGCACCCTGTGTAAGGTAACTATGCAGTGGATACCATCCCATTATGGTGTCCATCAAAATGAAAGAGCTGATAAACTAGCTAGTGAAGGTGTACACGAAGAACAACCTGACGTATGAGTCTTCTGTCAACAGAAGAGACTAATTAAACCAATCAAAAAGCCACCGAAATCGGCACAAGACAATTGCCATATTGAGGACAAACCAGAGCAAGTCCTTTTTCTACTTTTCTACTCCTTAAAACAAGACACACTCGACTTCGCAGTCATATGTACATACAATTTAGGATTGGCGAATCAGCCATGTGCACACGTGGATTCGCACCTGAGTCAACAGATCACGTTCTCCAAGACTGTCCTAAATACAAGATATCAAGACAAAACTTCTGGCCAGGAGAAACGCCGATGCAAGCCAAACTGTACGGGTCGCTGAGTAAATTACAAAAGACAGTGAGTTCATACTAGAGACAACGTTGCAAATATAGTTAATTTATTTTCAAACGAACGGAAGAAGAAGAAGCATATAAAATTGTCCTAAGCCCTTGAAATACATATCAGCTTATTTGCCCCCCCCCCCCCCTCTCAAACCCCTCAGAATAGACTGTGGCAGGATATCGATGTCAGTAAAGAACGGGTTTCTAGTTAACTTTTAAGACCTGTTATCCAATGATAGATTGGTGGGGGGGGGGGGGAATTAATTGTACTCGTCTACCAGAAAATTTATATGTGACATAATTTCAACTGCAAGCTCATTACATTCACACTGTTTATTTTCCAACGGTTCATTAAGTGGAGGAAAAGATGAGTTCTTGGATTTAGTTCGTCGAATCCATTTTTTCCGCGGGGAAAGCTGTGATGGCATCATAGGAAAGAATAATGTTGCCATGTTCTCCTTGACATTTTAAGGTCACGTTATTCAAAGCTTTCATAACATTTTGTAAAAATTATTTGGCAATGTCATTGAAAAGACAAATGAGTTTTCATTAAATGCGTAATACAGATCATTTTTTTTTTTTTAATTCGTGAGAAAGACTTTAACCTAAGACTTCAGCTCGTACAATAGAGCCAGCATATTTCTCTTTCGTAACCAAAGGACCTACGTATGAAAATGTAGAACAATGTGTGGCTTGAAGGACATCACAAAAAGAATGATTTGTGTTTAGTAAGCTTGGTTTCACAAACCTTTTATGGTTAATTTTTCATATGTAAATTTAACCATGGGAGACGTTCCGAAACAGCGCCGTACATGTTGTGAGGGCACAAAATGCAAAAAGCACACAGTCCACGAAGTGACCCAGTACAAAGTAGGGAAAGACGCACTGCACGCACAAGGTAAAAGACCTTACCGAGTGGTTATAGTGGTCGCTCTAAGTCTGTGTTCGGAAACAAGGCCAAGACAACAAGAGAGATTGTCCTGAGTATGGAGTGCACAGAATGCAAATATAAGAAACAGCTTCCCATCAAGCAATGCAAACACTTCCAGATGGGAGGTGATAAGTAGAGAAAGGGCCAGATGATTATGCTCTAGGCTCCATAATTTCACTGGCATCAAGGAAAATAAAAACTTTCAATTTTACACTTACTAAAAACAAAAAGTGTAGCTAGTTTTAGCCCATCTTTTAGATCTTGTGCAAAATTTTGGTTACCAGGGCCTAACTGTAAATTATAAAAATAAGTTATAATGATGTTTGGATTTTTTTCTTTAACTAGTTTAAGAAACCCAGATCGAGAACCCGTCACAGATAGAGCAGCAGCATCTGTACAAACACTCACTACTTTCTCCCAAGATAGTCCATTTTTTAAAAACAAAATTATGAAAGTTTTTAGTTTTGAAGCGCAAGCTTTTCGTGCTGTTTGTAAACATTTTTTTAAAGCCATTAAAAAAAAATATATATATATATATATCGTTATCTGCAAATCGACAGTATGTTATCAATTGGCAGCTTTGAGCCAAGACAGGGGTTTTATCACATTTAAATGGAAAAAACAGGTGACATTTTCACCTTTTCGATGACTCGTTTTTCTATATCTTCCGCGTGGCCGTCTCTCCTACGCTTTACATTACTGCCAGAAAGAGATATTTTTGATAATTTGCCACGAGTTTCACCACCTAAAACAATATTTGCAGCTAATAAGGTGCAATGTTTAGTAAGCTTTTCTCTAACTCTGTGTGGCTTTGTTGTCTTTCGCCATTACTAAGGACAGTTCAAATGATGCTTCAACAGTCTTCTTGTTCTGTTGAATGAAAGCACATACTGAAGCCAGTTTTACCCATTGTATAAAGTTTAGTGTGTTAGCAAAATAGTGTGCGGTTTTATTTGTTAACTCCGGATGTACTTAAATGCCATTCAGACATATAGGTCTTATTGTACCATTACTGACAACATAATGACAGACAATACAATTAGGGCCTGCTTGCCCTTACTATATAACGGCGTAAAACCAAACTTAATACAATTTTTTCTTTGGCACATACATCATTCTTTGGCACATTAAATATGTATCCTTAATAGCAGAACACTGAATCTCTCTTCTGCCTTCTGTCCCACAATAGCGTAAGCCCGGTTGGTTGGTTATTTTTGCTATTGTTTTTACAGTTTGAAGTAGACAATTCCAAGCCCAAACGTACCCTTTGTCGCCTCTTACGACATGCCCGATAGGATGCATTGGTATTATTCTTTGCTTCCTGTGAGGGAATATTACGCAAACGACTTTCATGTTAACTTTAAAATGTACAATGCGCATATGCTTTCAACAAACAAAAAGTAAAGGACCCCAAGTGTATTGGATAGGTAGTGCTAGACCTATATTTATAAACCAATTGGAACTTGTTGGGTAAAATTGTCAACATCTAGCCGGTCGCCTTTATGTTTCTTTGTGTTGATATGGATTGTTGTGTGTAGTCAGAGGTGGCCTCTCTGTCCCATTACTTGGCCTGTTTTACTGCATCTGATGTTAATTTCTTCATCCAGTTTCCCATCTTCGGTTAATGTTGCTCCCAGATATTGAAGCTGAGATGCCTGTTTAATGCCCTTGCACTCTATTCATATATTAAGTCGCTGTTCTTTCTTTCTATTGACATCGGTTATATCCTTTCAGTGTTAAGTCTCTTATTATTTTTTCATTCTTGATTCATATATTTTGGATGCTGCTGCAATTTCCTGGCTAAATCTGCTCTCAAGCCCTGGTCATCAGCAAAGAGTAATTCGTTGATCTTAGCAATACTTCCGTTCCTGGACTTAGCATCCTGGCATATACTGTTGATGTAAATGATAAAATGCATTGGTGATAAGACACATCCTTTTCTTACTCCAGATGTTACTGTGAATGGTTTTAGATGTTGCCTGATTTATTCTACAATTCCCATATTAACTTTTGTAGACTTCGACGAGAACATTCATAGAAAAATACAATGAATATCGGACACGATTAATCGGGGGCGTCTGTTATATCTCAGAGAAGGCAAGATTCTATCAGTGAAGCGGCAAGATTCTATCAGTGAAGGCTAGATAATGTATTATGAATTGTATTATTTCTTTTGGACGATAAAATCAAGACAGAGACTAAGAGACTATCTTTAGGGCAGTAAAATGGCTTTCTGTCACATCATTTCAAAAGCAATTACTGTTTCTGATTAGTACTCACAATTCGGAAAGTTCTAAATGGAATTCTGCTACTTAAGTGTTTGCCACTTGTATAGAGCTCGAAGCTTCGGGAACGAGTGAATATCTATAATACATTTCAAATGTGTACTGAACTAAAAGGGTTATTATATTTATTGTTATTATTGTTATTATTGTTATTTTTATTATCGTTATTCGTCTTCTTCCTTTCCTCCTCCGCCTTCCTTCTTCTTCTTCTTCTTCTTCTTCTTCTTCTTCTTCTTCTTCTTCTTCTTCTTCTTCTTCTTCTTCTTCTTCTTCTTCCTCCTCTTCTTCTTCTGTTGCTTCTTCTGCTGCTGCGTCTTTCTCTTCTTATCCTTATCATCCTCCTTTTTCCTTCTTCTCCTTCCTTCTTCTTTTTTTTTCTTCTTTCTTTTTTCTTTTTCTTCTTTTTTCCTCCTCCTCCTTACTTACCTTATCCTTATTCCTGAGTGACGTTCACCGACACCAGGACTGCACAGCGAGCGATTAGCACCCGGTGACACAAGATGCCACCATTCGGATTAGAATCCCACAGCCGCAAGTTTCAGAAACCCCGCTCAACCGTTGGGTTATATTAGGGCCCCTGACTACAAGCAGGTGGGGCTTTCAAATAACACAAAAATCGCATGGCATGTTGGGATGAAGTTAATATGCTCATTTGCTTTCTTCTTCTCCCTCTTGTAGATGGGCAGAGAAATATTCCACAAACAATAGAGCTTCGACCATGGTCATATCGCTTGATTACTTTTATCGATCGTAGACGAGAAATAAAGAATAAAATATAGAAATATGGACACAGTGATGCAGGCAATAACTGTTTATACATGGTACTTACCAACATGCAAAAGGGGGGGGGGGGGGGATCATCATCCCTGCCCTTTGACATCTGATTAGAGAGATCAAGCACGATTTGTTTATCCTAAGTAAACGTAATTTATTCAACATAATATTTGTAATATTCAACGTCAGATGGCGAGAGGCTCCGACTAATGCAGAGCGAAATGTGAAGTCTTCTTGACTCCTAGGCTATATCTTTTGTATATCTCTGACACGTTGATCCTGTCAGCGAAGACTCCTTGTGTATCTCTCCAACACTGTTATTGTCTTGAAGAATGTTCTTGTATCGTCCCAACACCTTGATCTTGCAGGCTGTGACTTCTCTTATCATGCACCTACATAATATCCTGTGTTTTTAGTAGACTGCCGATGTGTCACCAATATTGTGAGTTTGTACGCTGTGTCTGGGACTTCTTGTTCACACATCCCTCCAACCTGACCTTGAAGACTGTGACTTCTTGTTCACACATCCCTCCAACCTGACCTTGAAGACTGTGACTTCTTGTTCACACACCTCTCCAACCTGACCTTGAAGACTGGGACTTCTTGTTCACACGTCTCTCCAACAGGATTTTACAGGGGGTAACTTCGAGTTCACATGTCTCTCCATCCTGATCTTGAAGACTGGGACTTCTTGTTCACACATCTCTCCAGCATGACCTTGAAGACTGTGATTTCTTGTTCACACACTTCTCCAATCTAACCTTGAAGACTGTGACTTCTTGTTCACACATCTCTCCAACTTAATCTTAAAGACTGTGATTTCTCGTTCGTGTGTCTCTCCAGCAGCCCTATATGTAAGACTGTTCAAATACCTCTCCAACAACCTAATCTTGGAAGTTGTCACGTCATGTTCACGTTTTTGTGTCTCGTCAACACCCCGGTCTTGCTGGTTGTTTATGTAAACCACCAGCCCCAGCACAAGACGACTATTTTATTATGGACAGGCCAGAACAAGTCATTATCTTCCGCCTCAGAACTGGGCACAACCGATTACGAAACCACGTGTACACAAAATTCAAGATAGGCGTATGCAGAGCATGTAATCCAGGACTGCACTGAATTGGACACTTTAAGGCAAACCTTTTGGCCAGAAAGAACAACAGTGGAACGTAAACTCTATGGACCACTGAATGAACTAACAACATCAGTGAAATTTATACAAGAGACAAAATTGCTGATATAGACAACTTATTTCAGGCGAACGAAAGAAGAAAAAGCTGGTTGTTTATGTACCTCTCGAATGCTCCGGACTAATAGGAAATGGCTACTCTTCTCTGTCTACGTTCGCCCTTTATACTGGAGCTCCTATGTTGTGTTGTGATTTACAGCTAGGTTGGGATATCTGCGCCCTTACTTTCAACAGGTTCAATTTTAGCCAACGAATAATTTTATCTTTACGCCCACTCTCTCTGTCTCTCTCTCTCTCTCTCTCTCCCCCCCCCCCCCCTCTCTCTCTCTCTCTCTCTCTCTCTCTCTCTCTCTCTCTCTCTCTCTCTCTCTCTCTCTCTCTCTCTCAAATTGACTGTTAAAACATACAGGGTCTCTGCCAGACCGTCGGGAAATAAAGAGGGGTTCAAGGTTCTTATGTATCTGGGAAACACTGGTCTAGCATAAACAGATTTGTCTCATCCAACACACCCATGCATTTGGTGGGTTCTACTTGCAAAATGCATTGTCCTGACTACTCATGCCACATCCAGTTGTGGGCATTAATCTAAACTACTTCTATTATTACTTTAAAACTGTCTCTCTGATAATTTTAACTTATTCTGGCCCGAACATTCATTACCTTAGGTAAAAACTTTCTGAGAAGCTACCAATTCAATCGTCTTTGTCTGAAACTGAAAAAACTCAACACATGTATCGGCGAAGCAGTAACTCGGTACCTAGATGCGGTTGAGTCTTCTCAGCCTGTAACCACGAAGCTCTTTTGATATTTACTGCAAAAATATGCACTGTTGTACTTCGTTTGAGTTAACGTGCGTCTGAACCCACAGTCCCTATTTTATTTTCTCTAATAATTTGTCCTTATATGTTTTAGTAATAAACATGAAGTCCCCTACGTCAGCTAAACTAAAACATCATACTATCGTGTATGCTACGAAAAGTTATAGTGGCATAATAAAAACCACGTTTAGGGAACTTTCCTTTCGTTTCCGTGGCAGTGAAAATTCGTTTATTTTATACTATAAAAGAGAAAATTGCTAAGCTCATATGCTTCAGTGTCGAAATCATATTACTAATCAAGTTTATTACATCGTTTGAAATTGTGAATGGGTGATTGATTGTTATTATCACCAACTACTTTATACCATTCTCGTATAATATTTATGGTTTACAAGCCGACTAATCTTCTTTCACTATTATACTGTTCTTCATTTATATAACTTTGCTTCACTGCAGTGAGTGGTAATGTGGACAGTTTTATTTTAGTTGCTGAAAGATTTTTGCGTACCCCTGTCAGTTTCACTTGAACTGTTGAGAACGTTAATTTAAAGCTCTTTCGTGCTGCACAGAGGCACTGAAGATTCCCGGGAAGTAAAGGCGGCCGATGTGATGCTGACCACATCATTCATCCGGTGCCGATTGGTCTATAAAAAAAATGTCTAGCCCTAAATGCCCTATACGCCTATTTGATTTGATTTGATTTGATTTGATTCAAGAACCGACATCACAGCACTTGGGTCATTCCCATAAGTGCTCCGTCCCCATCTTCAGCAGTGAGCGAAGAGTTCCGATACTAATGATGCCAGTAGCATTCTGATTAAACGTCCGTCTTGCCTTTCCTCTGAGCCTCTAGAGAGAGAGGCACTGAAGATATTTGCACTGAAGATGGTCAAATCATGTGTTAAATACTGACCAATGAATAAAAGAGCACGTGCTGAAAGTCCGATGTAAAAAGTAAAGATCTCTTTTCACTCATTTAGGCACATCAGGCATATGAGAAGAGCACCGATATTTTTACAGATTAATCGGCACTAGGTGGGTAATGTGGTCAGCATTACGCCGGCCGTCTTTACTTCCCCGGGACAGCCATTCTGGTACCCATTTAAGGTTGGGTCGATCTGCGACGCCCCCTACCATGATAAAAATCCACGCACATACATACCCCCCCCCCCCCCTTCCACCCAAAACCACCACACACACCACACATTTGTTATCAAGGACATCCAGTGAAGCTCGTAATCATTCCTGCACCTCACGTATTCACTGTGAAAACGGTCTGTAACTTTAGGTGAAATCTGTGACCTTTAACCCACAACAAGGGATAAACACGTAGTGACGCAGAGTGCCACCATTCTGATGAGAATCATCCAGGTACAAGTCGCAGAGACCCCTTTCGACCTTTAGGTTATACTAGGGCCTCCGACGACAGTAGGGTAAGGCTTAACAATAAAAATTTTAAAAAAAATTAAGTTGCATATTTGGACGCTGTCTGTAACTTTCTCTGACGGTTAAGACACAGTAGTAGGAAGTGGTTAGAGCTCTGGTCTGTCTTATGGGAGACTTGAATTCGATCCTTGGTAAGGGAGAGAGATTTTTTTTCTGTCGAGGGGAAACAATTAAATCCTAACATGTACAGTTTGTGGCGACTGCACTAGCCATCCGACTACAAATACTCAGGCTCACGAACCCACTGTCATAGACCGCCCTAAAAGTGGTAAATACGGTGAATTGTGCTAAATACAATGTCACCGCTGACCTATCCTTTAACCTTAACTACAGATAAATAAATTTGATTAATTAATTTAAACTCATTACAGTCTGCTTACACGTAAATATACGCAGATCTGTGTGTATATATATAAACGCGGTGATCGAGAGTGAAAGAAAGCGAGCGCGAGAGAGAGAGAGAGAGAGGGAGAGAGAGAGAGAGAGAGAGAGGCGCCTTGATGTGGATTCCAACCGAAGTCCATCGCGCTGGCAGACAAACGTCTAGCCACTATTCTACCGCTGCTTCCACTTATTGGTCGTGCTGCCGAAAAATTACGGAACACCCTGTTAAGCATTCGTAATTGACATCTTTCTGCCCAAAATGCAGAGTGCCAAGCTGGCAGCTTTTCAATCAAATATTTCAAGGCACAGATTTCTGCCTGGAATATAGACACAATATTGGTAGAAAGTGGGGTACATATATGTTGGAATAAATGGAAAGTATGAATGAAGGAATGAACTAAGAATTGACATCCCGGCACTCGAGACATCCCACACGTGTTCCCTCTCCTTCTTCAGTAGACAAGAAAGAGTCGATATGTTAAAAGTACCTATTGCAACCTACGCTTTCCCTGCAGTGTTGAATATCTTCCAGACGCCCTGCTCCCCTCTCGCTGAACTAGTCTGTCAATGTGTGGATCCTTGGTCTGTTCTGTTGCACTGTCCACTTAATTAATCCCTCGAAAGATATCACCACTTATGCGTTTTCATAACGTAGCTCACCATCGATGGGTGTGACAGCAGCCAGTCTGTCAGCTTACTCATTACCCCGCACACCCGAAATTCATGGACAAAAAAAAATCAAGCATAATTCAAGTTCTGGAATAAGACCAAAGCCCAGAAGGGGATGAACAATCAGAATCAGCATTTACAGTCAGCATGCGCTGAGAAGAATGAGAGAGCGAGAATTAAACAGGACTGCACAAAATGAGCTTTCTGGTGTTCCAAGGGAGATAACCATACTATCGTTTAGGTGTAGAATAAACAAGCAACAGCAGGTTCTCTATTCTATACTTTTAATAACGGGAGTCAACGTGGCGGAGCGGCTAGACGCTACCGCTCCCCCGAAAAGGCACTAACCCAAGCGTGCCTTGCACTATAATGTAGCAGTATTCCACCAAGCCAAGCTAGTCTGTCCGCCTGTTCATTTCCCAACACACCGCACCGTGACCCGGTGAAAAAATCCCAACTAATACTCTCACTCGTGTCCTCCGTAGCAAAGCATGCCACTCTTCACGAAGCATACCTGTTGTGATCTTCCTCAGCATGCTTTCTGAATCAGTTACAATCACGATGTGTGTGTTTGTCGCGTTCTCTAGCCAGCGGAAAGCTGCAGTGACCGCCTCCGCCTCCATTCTTAAGCTGGACGTTGTGGTATCATATGCTAGGCTCTCCTGCACCAAACGTCGACCATTAACTTTTGCTAGAAGCCCCAAGCCCTAAAGGCGTGGAAAAGGGTCCTCTACTTATTGTACTTTACTATACTTACGATATGTCGGCACCTGTGGCTTAGGCGTTGCGAGCGCGCATTTTAATGCAGGGGTACCGGGTTCGATCCCAGCTGCTGGCCTTGTGCCTTGCGTTGGTTTCAACAGTGCTATCGAGAAGTCGAGTCCAGAAGAAGCAATGGCAAACTACTGGACGTAAATTTGCCCAGAAAAACCACAACAGCCAAAAAATGCTGGGGTTGGTTCTGCAAAGTCCTGTAAAGGATATACGACTAACCTTTTTTTTTTTACTTTTAATATTGGGTCATTGGAGGGGATGCGGTAGGGTAGTGGCTAGAGGCTCACCTGTCGGTCGGCATTATCGACGATGTTTTAAACTGACAATGGCTTCTAGGCCGGCCCAGGCTCAATTGGGTACCGTATAGTGAACTGGCGAGGCCTGCATAGAACGATTGCAATGGCCGCTTACTATGTCACTTGCACCTAAAATGCACTATTTTACTGTTTATTGTTACTATTTACTGTTTATTACAAATGTACCGCACAGTTTATGTCTCGAACATAGTGGCAAGAATTCTCGCCGCATGCTTACGCATGCACAAACTGTGACGTGTGAAAGCTGCCGGTTACTAGTACTACGATGCTAGATGCGCACACATATTCTCAACAGCAGAGTAACGAAAAGGAAAATATTAAGTGTACATTTGTACACTAAGGAAATTTTTATCTGCTAACTCTTGTACATGCAAATGTCCCCTTGTGCGTTCCGGGGCCCTATCGTGGGGAAAACAAGAATAGCCATCTGCCCTACAAAAGCATGTGCGTAAGAGTCGAGCTAATTGGGAAGCTTCCTTTGGATGAGTCGGAGTGGATCTGCCTGAAAGGCAAGGAAAATGCCGATTGGGTCACAAAATTTAAACTACACTATGTATCTGATGGGGCCCAAGGCGGGGAAAATTTCGTTTTTTAATAAAGGGCCGGGTTTTGGGGCA